CTGAAACCCCTGCAGAGCGTGTGCTTGGACCTTGGGCTTCTCCCCAACCACCACCACACACAACCAGCATTTTAATAATATTATTTGTGCCTTCTCGTCCTGCATAATTTGTTTTTTCAAGGTTAAAAAGGGGCAGAAGGAAAGTACAGGCACTGTGGACAGACCCAAGGAGTGGCTCCCCCATGGCACCCACCCTCAGGTGCCCACACTTGCATTGGGTGAGTGACGGGCTGTGCTTCCTTCCCTCAGGCCTTGGACTATGAGAGCTGTGAACACTACGAGCTCAAAGTGTTGGTGCAGAATGAGGCCCCGCTGCAGGCAGCTGCCCCCAGGGCCGAGCGGAGCCAGGCCAAGGTCCGCGTGCATGTGCAGGACACCAACGAGCCCCCCGTGTTCCAGGAGAACCCACTTCGGACCAGCCTAGCAGAGGGGGCACCCCCAGGCACTCTGGTGGCCATCTTCTCTGCCTGGGACCCTGACACAGAGCAGCTGCAGAGGCTCAGGTGGGGATCCTGAGGCACTGGTGGAGGCAGAGGAGGCTAACGGCCCCATTCCTGCTTCGGGTGCCCCTGACCCCTGGGCTCTGAGGGTCAGAGGGCGTAGCGGCCATTTGCTGGTGTGGGTTCCTGAAGGTCTGGAGGGTCTCGAGTCCCAAGCATCCCCGTGTGTGCATGTTGGGGTGACCTCACCCCCTAGGGCAGGCCCGGCTCCAGCCTGTGCATGCCACAGTCTGTCCCTGCCAGCCGTGTCCATCCCCGGAGGCCCCTGTTCCCAAGAGACTGGCCGTTCACATCTCATTTCACCCCAAGCCTGGCCCTGTGAATCCCTGTCTGTGTCCGCGGTGCCCAGGAAGGGCGAGCACCGACTGGGGCTTAACTAGGTTGCCACACTGTCTCAGGGCCCTGGACAGCTTGCCTGCCCTCCCTGAGCCTCAGTTTCCTCACCTCACAGGAGGTGCCAGTGACTGCAGCTCCCATCATATGCACATGGGTTGTGTGTACATGTGTGTGTGCACATGTGTGGTACATACGTGTGGTGTATAGGTATGGGGGGAGGGTTGTGCAAGGTGTGAGAGTGTCTATGGGTATATATGTGCATGTGTGTGTGCTGTGCATACGCATGTATGTGTATGTGGTATATACATGTGTGTGCATGCGTGTGCATGGAAGGGTGTGTGTGTACACGTGTAGTGTGTGCATGTGTGCATGCATGTGGTAGGTGTGTGTGTGCCTGTGTGTGTGTGCAGTGCATGTCATGCACCCATACCTGACCACACCTGTGGGGCCCTGGGATAAACTCAGATCCCACTCTTCCCCTCCCCTGTATCAGCTACTCCAAGGACTACGACCCGGAAGACTGGTTGCAAGTGGACGCAGCCACTGGCCGGATCCAGACCCAGCGGGTGCTAAGCCCGGCGTCCCCCTTCCTCAAGGGCGGCTGGTACAGAGCCATTGTCCTGGCCCAGGATGACGGTGAGCGGTGCGGCTGGCTTGGGGCTCCCTGACCCGGCTTTGTCCCGGCTGAGCACCCCTGCCGGTGTCCAAGGGCTCTGCCCATTGCCGCCCGGGGGTTCAGAGCTGCACACCCCTCTGAGCCGACTGGTGGGGCGGGCTGGGGTGTTGGGGTGGGGTCACCGAGCCACAGCCCTCTCGCCTGCAGCCCCCCAGCCCCGCACCGCCACCGGCACCCTGTCCATTGAGATCCTGGAGGTGAACGACCACGCACCCGTACTGGCCCTGCCGCCACCAGGCAGCCTGTGCAGCGAACCGCACCAGGGTCCCGGCCTCCTCCTGGGCGCCACGGATGAGGACCTGCCCCCCCACGGGGCCCCCTTCCACTTCCAGCTGAGCCCCAGGCTCCCAGAGCTCGGCCGGAACTGGAGCCTCAGCCAAGTCAACGGTGCGCTCTCCCCCACCGCCG